TCTGTGATTGGTGGGGGCCACGAGGGCGGAGGAGAGACCGTCTCTCTCAGCTGGCTCAATGGGAACCAGTTTTTGCGAGAGTTTCAGTTTAGGGGCAGGGAAAAAAAAAAAGAAAAAAGAGCAGGAGCGGTCCTCCCGGTGGCGCCGCGGAAGGGCGAGGAAGAGCGGAAAAGAGAACGGCGAGGAGGGAAGCAAAGGCGAAGGGATTTATTTGCAGAAGAAGAAGAAGAAGAAGCCATCAAAGCGGGTTTTAAAAGAGGGCAAATTAAGAGACGCGGGAGGGGGGAGAAAGGAGAAGGAAATGGAGAAGAAACTAGAAGGGACGGAGGCGTGAAAGAGCAGCAGAAGGGCCCTCTACTTCCTGCGGCTCAGAAGAGGAAGATCTGATTGCAAACAAGTTATCTGCAAGGGGCAGCCCAGGGGCAGCCACCAAGCGGCGGGGGGGCGGCTTCTTCTCTCCCCCCCCCTTGGGGACCCCGATCCACAACATCTGCTCCGAAGTTCCGGCCGCCGCCGCCAGCTGGCGCTCTTCGCGGGCCGCCGCCGCCGCCGCCGTCCCTTGGCAAGCAGACTGACCGCTGCTGGTCTCCGCGCTCGGCTTTTGCACCACTTCGGGATTATCTCACTTTTTTAAAAATTGCGTGTTGTTGGATTTTTTTTTTATTTTTTGGGGTGGGTAAACTAAAGGGGAAGTGGCTGAAAATGAGCCAAGATGTCTGACAAAATGTCCAGCTTTCTGTACATCGGGGACATCGTCTCCCTCTACGCCGAGGGCTCGGTCAGTGGCTTCATCAGCACCTTGGGGTAAGGATCGTGTGAACGGGGCGAAACCCGCCTGGCCAAGGGGAAGAAAGCTATTTTTTTATTGGGTCATATGGTGGTGGGTTTTTTTTTCTCTTTCCTTTCAGTGTTATGTTGTAAAAAAACAACCATGTCCAGTGAAATATTTTAGCCCTTACTTGCTTTCGATTTCTGGAACACTGTCAATGTCAAACTTCTTTGACTTTGAAAAAAGGAGAGAGATTTAGGCAGCGGTCTCCAGGACTGACACTGAGACGTCGGTTTCTGCTGGGCAGGGGGAGAAAAAGTCGTAAAATCTTTCCCTAGCCTGGGGCCCTCCATAGGTGCTGGATTGCAACTCTCATCATCCCCAACCACTGCAGTGCATGTAAATGGGCCGCCGATACCAGCATACCGACCCCCTAGAAAGTTCAGCCCTAGATGAGCCCTTGTTTTGGCTGCAAGCCAAAGCTCACACTTACCTGGAAGGAATCCATGGGAGACTTGCTTCTGAGTAGACATGCCCAGGACTGTGCTGGTAAGACCTGTCAGGAGGAGGAGAGCGTTTAGGAGGTGCTTGGCTTGGCCGTTTAGATCGGACATGTGCTCGGCTTCGGCTGGATTGTGCCCATGCAGCCTAGAACTTGTACATGCTTACCGGAAGGAAGCCCTATTGCTCAGTAAAGGCATCTGAAATGGTATAAAGTCTTATCTTCTCTGGACTGCTTCAGTACTGCCATTTAAACTCTTATTTATCCACCTGCTGGAGGAGAGGTCTACTGTACAGGAAAATAGATTCCTAGGCCTTTGTCACAAGCCTTGCAGAGATCAGTTTTCGGGTCCTGTTCCTCTCCCCTGGCAATTTCAAGTTGCATTGTCTCTAGACTGAATGTGCAGTTGACTTCATTGATGGTGTTTCTGAAACAGAGTTCACATGCCCAGAAGAGGCTTGGAGATCAGTGAACATAACTCTTTGAATTTGGAAGCTTTGGGTGGGTAGGTGATTGGGAGGGGGTGAAGAGATTATGGCCTAATTGTTAATTTGTACAGCTTTTGAAACTAGGGCCTAAAAATAGAGGGAGAGAGATGATTCTGCCCATTTTATGTTAACTCTTAACAGTGCTGCGTACTTAACATACCTCAGATTTTCCGATTTTCCTGTCCACTTCACACATTTGTGACAGTTGAGTGAAGCATCGGCATGATGTGTATGTGTGAATGAGTTTTAAGGATCATTCAGGCATTTGTAGTGCGTTGCCATAAGGGGAAGTGCATTGTTTTATTTTAATCTCCCTTCCTGCCCCTCCGAGTGTGAGAATGTTTGCAACACAGCTTGCAACCTGCCCTCATTGGTATTAAAAGAAATGCTGTTCACACGCGGGGCTGTTCCCAGGCATTGAGCTTATTGCATAAAGTTGCTGCCTATTGGAGGTTTCGTGAGATTAAAAATACAACTGGCCTGCTCTCTGCAGAAGCTGCTGTATGATAACCTTTTAATGCAATCCGCTTGCCATGCCTTAATTTTGATGTGATCATAATAGGGAAGAATATATTAACTTGATAGAGGAGAAGATTAAATAGCAAAAGTCAGCGCCATTATATCACTTGTACAAGAAGTTCTGTGAACTGTATGATATACTGCATAAACAGTGACTATCATAAACTGGGGCAAAGCAGGACAGAATGTTTTGTTGCTGTGTACTGTCAAATACTTCCAACTTATGATGATCCTAATAGGATTTTCAAGGTATGTGAGATGCTGAAGGAGAGGTTTAGCAGTGTCAGCCCCTAGTAAGTTTCTTGGGCCAAGGGGATGCTTGAACTCAGGTCTCCTGGGTCTTGATCTGACACTCTGTCCACTATAACACTCAGGCTCTCAGCAGGATGTATTGTTGTACTTTATGGAGAATTCTAGCTGTCAAGCTGAGGTATTTGTCTAACCTGTAGATTTCCACAGTGCAAACTTGGTTTGCAAGTCTGATATCATGATTTCTCTGCATCTAGTGTGTGTCTCAACAAACTAGCTGTTTTACTCACAGTGCGCCCTGTTTATGCACTTAGCAAATGATGTGTCAGAATTTTGCCTGGCCTGCATTATTTAAAACTGTAGTGAGGTTCGCATGATTGGATGCTTCCCTATATAAAACGTTTCCTGTCTGTACAAAACTAGATGTGAGGAGGGAGATGTCTGACCTAGCTTGTCCCATTATATCCTGGCTTTCTGTGGGCAAGTATTTTTGATAGCGAGAACATGAAAAATTACTTCCCCCTTTCCCCCTTAGGTCAGATGAGTACAGTCTAGGAACAATTTTGCCATATGCGCTTGGACAGTGACTATAATAGCAACCCATCTAGTGCCAAAGACATTTTAACACTAAAACTGATAGGGAAACTGTAGTTTGGGTGAAATGATAATTGTGATCAATGATCTATCATAGCCCTTCTCCCAAGCCATTCTAGAGAACCTTCACGTAACAAAATCGCCATGTCATAAAAATTAAGTCAAAGAATGTTTCTCAGCTTTATGGTTTCATTATGAATTATGCTAAGCGTTTGCATTTTACATTCTGTGCATCTCATGATATTTTAATCATATCTAAGAAATGGTATGTAGTTTAACGAGTAATCATACTCAATTGTGCTACAGTAAATTCTTTCTGCTGGAACTCATGGTCTGATAACCTGCCAAGCTTCCTGTTGCAATTGTGGGAAATATTGTGTGTTATCTCTGTCTATGTAAGTAGTTAAGCCTTCCTTTGAAAATCACAGTGCTTAATGTTGCAATTCTTTACCTGCTTACTTGGGAGTAATTCTTATTGTGCATCATTGTGGATGGCTTTCAAATAAACTTGCTTAAGATTTAGTTTTGGATATCTTTAGCTGCAGATCATTGAAGTGATCTTATATTTGGTATTTAGATTCTTATAGGATGTAACTGCCTTTATTTCTCTGCAAATTTAATTCTTTTAAAAATTGTTGATGTTTTTAGAAAAAAAATAGTAGTGTAATTTCACTTAGATGCCCCTCAAAAAGAGGATGCATAGCTATAGATTTGTACCATTTCTCATTGATACTGAAAGGCATTCAGACACGGACACAGTCCAATAAACATAAGAACTCTTAAAGACCCTAATTTGAAGGGGAAATCCCACAGTAATCTGTGGAGACTGAAGACACTTAATTCACCATTCATCTTTGGAATCATTAATGTATTAAGCACTGTTCTACCAGGCATGCCAAATTGCATGTTTGTTTAGCCCTTAAATTGTGATATTAATGGATCAGTAAACGCTGCCCAGCCACTTCATAAACATGCTTAGTGATGCCTTTCTGTCTTTACAGATGGTCCCAATTAAAGAGATTTTCTTCAGAGCATTCTTTTGCTTGAAGTATTTATAATTTTAAAAGTAGCATTCAAAAATTTGCTGCGACGGTGGATTTGCTTGTACGTATTCAGGAGCACAGGTGCAGCTTAAATGCATGAAGCAACATTTTTGGTCAGAATAAACAGTTTTCGGAAGGGTGTAGTACCTTCGTAGTTAGAGTCTGTGTACGTGCATGTACATCCATGCACAGTATAAAGCTGTGTCTGCTTTTCACTGGAAGGTTTCAATTGTCAAGCTCCAAGGCATTTGTTAATAACCTTTTCTAAAGAAGAAGTAGAAGAGGAAGAAGAAGATTCTGAAGCGCTGTCCCAAATCAGGATAGTATATGACTAGGGATGAGCTTTAGAAGACAAGTTTTGTATTCACATGCTATAGAGTCCTACCACATTTGCAGAGCAACCACTTTTTCTTCCTGAAAGTCCATGGAAAAATTTCTAACTCTTCTTGTGATTTTTTTAAAGTCCAAAGCAAACTTGTGTTCCTTGAGCAGTCAGCAGAAGTGCCTTGTGGGTTACCAGAATCATGAAAATTCTGTTGACTTTCACTGGAATAAAGCTGCTCCAGCTAATTTGGTGTGTCGTTTGTTACTGAACCAATATGACATTTCAATATTTAGAATCAAACTTGTGGCAAAGGATGCTTTCCTGTTGGTGTTCAGGCTGCATAAATACTGTTGATTTCAATGTATTTACAAAAAACATTATTTTTATTTTTAAAAAGATATATGTAAATTGATCTCTGACTGCATTTCTTTGGCTCTGTCCCCATTGTGCGCTGCCTGCCAGCTACTGGCAAATTTGGCAAATGGCCCTCAATCTCACTGAGATTGCCTGCTGCTGATTTAAGCAATGTAACATAAGAAATTTGGCCAAAGTGGTTTATTTATTCTAAATAAGATATATGTGCATCAAATGGAGAACAGGATGATTGCAGCTGTAATTTAAAAAGGACATCTGCACTTTGAAATGGAGAAGGTGAGCCTCCAACTTCTAAATCAGACATGCAGAGGTCCCCCAACTAACACTAAGGGTAATTGGGAATCATCTACTCAAGTCCTACCCACTCTTAACATGAGTCCGTCCCACTTACTGCTGGCCTTTCCATAAAGAGGTCAAGAGGTATGAGGAGAGGATATTCCAGTGGTATCATTGATTGGCAATAGTACCTGAGATTCCTCCTCCTGCTACTTGCTCTCTTCCTTGGGAATCTAGAGAGTATGTAGGGGAATCCCAAGTGTTCTCTCCAAGAGAGTATGTAGGGGAATCCCAAGTGTTCAATCACTGTAGGCATCCTTCAGTCTTGAGAGACTATGGTAACGTGCTCTGTATGGAGTGTCCTCTCCAGAGCACGAAACCTGGGTAGAATAATATGGAGGATAGGCTGTTACCCAAGCAGCAAATCCCCCCTCCCCACATCACTGAACTAGTCCAGTGGAAAGGCACAAGCCAATACAGCTGGTTCCAGCGATGTCGCAGGAGTTGCCAGAACGACACGAACTGCCTCCGGGACTCCGGCTCCGGATTTTACCTCGAGGTTGTCTCCTGAAGCCTTTTCCATGAGTGGATATAGCCACAAGGCAGTGGAGGTTTGAAATCAGAGTTTTCCTTCTCCTAGATGGGCTGCCTTCCATGGCTGACA